GAGCGCATCGCTAGTAGGTTGGAGGCCATCGTGAGTAGGTTGGAGGCCATCGCTAGTAGGTTGACCTAGTAGTACGTTGGAGGCCATTGCTAGTAGGTTGGAGGCCATCGCTAATAGGTTGGAGGCCATTGCTAGTAGGTTGGAGGCCATCGCTAGTAGGTTGGAGGCCATCGCCAGTAGGTTGGAGGCCATCGCGAGTAGGTTGGAGGCCATCGCGAGTAGGTTGGAGGCCATTGCTAGTAGGTTGGAGGCCATCGCTAGTAACAAGTGCCTTACTACTAGTAAGTAACAAGAAGCTATGAGAAAAAAATGTTTCTAAAAGCTTCTTGTTTCTACTAGTGAGGCACTTGTTACTACTAGCGATGCACCTGTTACAACGGACATCCGGGGACTCCAATCATCCGAAGTTGTGATATGGTCACCATGAAAACCACAATCCTGCCAGTTCTTGCATGTGTCAGAGATCTGCGCGAAGCTGCGCCACCCAAGAATTTCTCAACAAGGACTTGGTGCTAAATGTTGTACCGCCAAGCTTAGATTCAATCGCCAATGGCTCAAACAATCACGGGTGGTGCGTGAGCTGGCCATGTTAGCTGACGGACAACTGATCGAATGCACCACCAAAACACACTCTCCATTTTTGATCGGTACACAGAAAAAACCCTTCAAGATTCTCAATTGCATCGAAATCGACCGAAAGGAAATTGGCTCTCACCTCGAAGCTTCCGGTTTTCTGGGTCGCGTTTTCCGTGCCGCCGCTCCCCCCCCTTCGTTTTCGTTCGCCTGCGCCATGTCGGTGAGGCTGTTGGGCGACAAGATGTGCGACGGGCTCGGAGGCATCGAGGTCGGAATTCCAGAACCATTGGAAGCAAGTCCGGAACGGCTGCCGGGAGCCACCTGGCGCGTGCGATGAGGCGATGGGATGCGAGGGGCTGTTCGTCTGACATTAGATAAATTAATCACGTGAATGCTTTCAAAACGATACACCTCTAAGATCAGTGGATCTTCCTTCCATCAGTTATGGTCATTTTGTGGACATGGACATAATGTGATGTTAGTATCACAACAGCGAATGTGTCTTGTCAGCCAATTTAAGTCGATGACACTTATTCAACGATCAACGCTGGTGCGGTGCTCAAAGCTGAGAGCTCAGGATGCGAAGCTAAGACACATCAGGGACCCTAGAGCAATGAAGTCTCCAAAGCATATATTCATCCTCCTTTACCGGACTTGCAATGATACTAACTAGAAGAAACTACTTGGCTCCAAGCAAACATCTGGATGAATCCAGGTTCAGTGAGCTGTCAAATGAGTATGCATCCCAAAAGTGTGCTGCAAAACTCCTCCCAGTTTGAAGAGAACTGCTAACATCTTTGGGATGTTTCACCTCCATTTTCCGACCTCTTCCCGACCAAGCTCGGTCTCCTCCCCTCGGCGTCCGGCTTTGGGTGCATTGGTTCTGACCTTTCCTTTGAAATGCTTCCGGTAGAAGGACCTCGGTGTACCGGTCTGACGACCAGTGCGGCACCAGTCGGACTTCAAGTGGATGTTGGTGACAGAGACCACAAAACGAGCACGCTACAAGTTGCTACTATTGTAATATCTCTTTTGGGGAAATCGCATCGCTGTTTGAATTGACACCTCTTCGCAGGATCCTCTTCGGACAAAGGATGAAAAGGGTCCAGCCCAAGGGTGAGAACAATCACCCCCCAAAATACTTGGTGAAGGAAGTGAAAGTTGAAGGGACCAAAGGTGACAGTGACCACCGGTGCCCACTTTTTTGTTACAACGGAAAACAGGGAGTGGAATGACCACTTCCTTTTTTACTTTGCGACGACGTCCGACTTCTGCGCCAAGATGCTGAATGGTATGAAGAGCCAATTTCTTGTAGTTCCCTCAGTGACATCCGCGGTCACACATCATCCCAGGGATGAAGGGATCTGAGAAAAACCATTGAAGGGAGGATTGCGGGGGGAATTCCATTGAAAGCGTGGCAAACCAGGAGAAGGGAATACGGTTTTTTTGTGTGTTGGCAGGGGAACGCATTGATCTGAAGATGTGCTTAGCTAAGCTTCTCTCTTGATATTTTTCGATGAGGCCACGACATGAAGCGAGGGTGACTGATTTTTGAGGCCCTCACAAAATGATGGCCCAGGGCCTCTTCACCATTATGAGGCCCTGGACTCATTGTTCGATGGCCTCCCGCCTACTAGCGATGGCCTCCACCCTAATAGTGATGGCCTGGACTTGTCTGATGATTGTTCTGGCTACACCAAGATGCACGCGATCTTGGTGGCCCAAATGGACGTGGTCAGCAACCACATCAGACTTGTGGGTTCCATGTGACAAATATCTCCTCTCCTCCCATAAAGCTCCCGCAGATGGAGTTCAACTGTCAGCTTGGGACAGAGTCTTGGCCAAAGTCGAGCAGGGAGATGGTTGGGGCGGTCCAGGGTCTCTCCTTCACTTGAAAACAACCCCTCCGGAACTTTCTTGACCGCCAAGTCACGAGGAATCCTCAACTGCTCTAATAGCTGCCCCCGGTGCCACTCCTGCCGCGTTGCGCTGCGTTGCGCCCGTGGAAAGCAACTTATGAGAAAGCCTTGTGATGCCTTGTGGCAGCTCTATTACTGGTGAAACAAAGTGATGTCAAAGTGCTGGGGATGGTCTCTCAAAGATTCCAGCTGCTAAGGAAATAGCACAAACCCTATACACAAGATTCTTGTCTGTCCAAACTATCCCAAACCAAGTCACACTGAACAGATAAACCCCAAACCTTTGTGGCAGCACTGTCCAGCATGGCGAAATCGTCCGATGTGCGTCGGATCTCGCCTTTCTTCTGGCCACCTTGACCCAAACCGAGGAGCACGCAGGGAATTCACCTCGGTGGAGCAACCCCATCGCTGGCCCCGGTGGATGTGGGTCCAAAAACAGTTCTCAGCAGATCCTTCGGGATCACCCAGCAGCTCTACTGATTGGTGTGGGTTGTTACTACTAGGAACAAGAAGCTATTAGAAACAAGTGCATCGCTTCTAGTAACAAACCCCACACAATCTCTTACCACCCTGTTCACAGTCGTTCACCATATCAAGCTCCTCCAAGCACCTGGGCACGTTGCAGATCGTTACACCATGCTAGATATATCCTTTCACGTCGATGACCCCATCAACATTACCGGCATCACCAAGTCCTGGTATTAGCGATGGCCTCCAACCTACTATCTCTGATCCTCCTGTGGTGATGGTCGTTGGGGTTTGCTTCATCCAGCTTCCCCATGCTCGCCGCTCGCCCCATATGCCGTGCGAAGGGCTTCTGAGTTCTAAAAGATCTTTCTTGTGCAAGACCAGCCTAGGAGCAAAGGGCATCGCTACTAGGAACAAGAACGCTACTAGGGGCTCCTGGCATCGCTACTAGGAGCAAGAACGCTACTAGGAGCAAAGGGCATCGCTACTAGGAACAAGAAGCGAGATTGAGCTCAACTCCGTCCGATGCTCCATCCGATTCGAGATTTCAAAAAGAAAAACATCTACCAGGCTATATTTGGCTCCAGGAAGTGCCACAACCACAACTTGCTTCAAAGGCCGTAGGTGGGTCTCTCTTTGTGTGTTTTCTATTGGGGTGTGGCTGCAGTAGGCAAACAATTGACATGCTGACTTTGCAGGATGTGATCTGAGTATGCTTTTCTTGAAAACAAAGTAGCTCTTTGCCTTGGCCAACTGGAGTAGAAAGTTCACTACCCGAGAAGGAATCAACACTGGGTCGTCGACGTGCAGCAGAGTCATTCTGCGAATCTACATGCCATCACAAGAAATGGCAACAGTGGAATTCTTTTCGCAACAAGAAGGCAAAGGACTGACCCCTCCTATTTTACTTCCTTATCAACTTAGAGATTTTTGTGGACATATTCCATCCCCCATAAAATAATACGGCTCATACACCTGATCTTTTTCTAATTAAATCCATGTCAACATGATATAATGTGCAGTTGGATGACATTATTATTGGCAACTCTTTACTTGGTGTGCTGTAGCAAACCTTCATTGTAATTCATCGCTTTCATTCAGACATTCACATGTTTCAGCATATCATCAGAATTACTATACATCTTGGAGTTTACTAGACAAACGTCTACATTGATATTTTTTTTCTCATGTTTTCTCATTCCGGGTCGGTCCTCTGCCTTGCTCCTTTGGTGCTGGGTTGGGGCTCGAAGGTTGGTTTGGTACCCGTCTCATGGCATTTTGACGGTTTTGACATCTTTTGGGTCAATAAGTTCATCACAAAGATCCACCAAAACGGACAAACAGACTTTTAAGGGATGCGAGAATGTTGGACCAACATCCACTGCCAACTGTCCCAGACTCTTCCCACAAACACACGGTTTCACCACCGGAAACCCAGTGGTTTCACCACGCGGTTCATCGCTGAGCCTCAACGGAGTCAGTCCCTAATGGCCGGTCTATTGAGAGGCCTGCAACGCTCCATGCCGAAACGAAACAATTCCAGTGAAACAATTGGTTCCATCATTTTCATCGGTTCTTTCTTTGGCCAAGCGAACGTCCCGTGCCGCGCAATACGCGAACGTGCCGCTGCCGTTGCCCAGCGACACTTCAGCGCCCATCTCCGACTCCACACGGGCGTAGGACATGCGTGTGGGCAGGTCGGCCAAGGGCTCGTACCTCGGTCGATGGCACCGCAACACTGCACTCAAGGCATCAGCAGGTCTTTGTTGCATCTGGTTTTTGAGTCTTGGATGGAGGCCACTGCTATTTAACAAGAAGCTACTAGTAACCATTGGCATCGCTACTAGGAGCAAGAACGCTACTAGGGGCTCCTGGCATCGCTATTAGGAGCAAGAAGCTACTAATTAGGTTGGAGGTGGATTTCAAAGTGTTACCCCTCGACTCACTTTTGGGGGCAGCACACGAGAGTCAAGGGCTCCAAATCCCGAACAAGCAACACAGGACCACATTGAAGAAACAACCAGTTCTGTTGGTCCATAGCTTACCTAATTATATCTTAGTGCCAAATGTTGCATTGCCACACGGTCTTGCTTTTCCTGCCAAGTGCCAAATTGAAGTAAAGATAACACTGTTCTGCAAATTTAGGATGAACCTGACCATCTCAGTTTTCGTCAGGGTATAGTGGCACACCTGTTTCCAGCAAATCCTGACATGCGACCTGCAGGTTGGAAGACAAGGTGGCCTGAGCACCACATGCATATCATTTTGTAGATTTTGCTTATTTAAACATATTAAACCACTTGAACCTGGTTGGCTGTACCATATCATACTGGAAAAAACATCTATGGATTTGCTTCAAACAGTGACCTTCAAACGCGACGGTTGTTTCTCACAATGAGCACAACGATCTTCAGCCAGCCCTGATTGTCATCCGTTCGGTCGAGGAACTCGCCCAAATAGCTGAGCACGCCAAAAAGCTTGTAAGGATAGAGCACCTGTTTGGTCCTTAGACTCGATTTCTCCATTCACATCGGTTTCATCGTCACCAATCACGTTGCACACACACATGTTGTTTGTCACTAGGGTGGAGGCCATCGCTACTAGGGTGGAGGACATCTCCTGCATCCGTGCAAATTTGGGACTCTGGGGTCTGCTTATGCTATGAGGACACGAACAAAGAAAACCGAAAACGCTCTTCAGCTGCACTGACTGAACAAGTTCAATGAAGGAAGGAGGTCACATCACTCTGGTCTTGGAGATTCTTGGGTTTCCTTCCTGGTAGCGGTCATCATACGCAAGAACTGCTGGCAACAAGAAACCAATTTCTTTACTACCTGCCGAAAACACAAACGAGCTTTGGCCTCAACCAGAGCAATTAGCGCTTTAACCAAAAAAAACATCGTTAAGGAATAAAGTAGTGATGGCCTCCACCCTAGTAGCGTCCTTGGAGGCTCTCTACAGCTCGTTGGATCCACCGTTCCCTCGAGGAAAGATGGACTCAGCACCAACATTGAGGAAGAGGTGCTGTGAAGTGAAGAAGGACAGGAACGAGAGTCCAGAAACGACAGGGACGTCAAAGGGAATATGAAGAATCTATATACACAATATAACTAGAAGATACTAAGATCTGTTTAAAGAAAAGAAGGTGGACTTGGGCCCCGGGGCCTGATTAGAGCAAGTCCCCCTTTAGTTTTTCCTTCTCTTTCTTTGCCACCACACATCTCTCGATAAAGGCCAAGCATCTGCTGCTCATTTGTGACCTGGATGACAGGGAAGGACACTTGTTGAATTTTGGGGATTGCAAATGTTGTGGCCGTAGAGCATGGAAGGAGTGGCCCAGAGAAACACACACACATGCACACACATATATATATATACACACTCTGAAAGCTATAGTGGATAGGATAGACCTCCAGGATCCATACAGCAAAGAATGATTGAGTTGTTCAAAAGAGGGTTTAATCAACTTGCAACATGTCTGGACGACCCATGTTGAAGCTGGATGCCCAAGTAGTCCCAGGCTTGGGCTCATCCTATCCAAACCCAAGAAGAAAGTTGCACCATGTTGCACCAGTGCTGCACAAGAGCAAGACCTTAGCCTTGACTTGAAAGGATGTGAGGTGTGTTCCTCGTGTTTTTCGTGGACCTTCCCAAGCTATTCGATCCCTGTGACGATACCTCCACCGCAAACACAAAGAACCTCCCAAGAAAGCAACTCAAAAAAGACCGTCCTATTTACTGAATACATAGATATAGATGTACATAAACAATGGATGTACAAGAAGTAACAATGTTTGCCAGTAGTAACAAGTGCCACGCTAGTAGTAACAGGTGCCTTACTAGTAGTAACAATAATAATTTAGAATTGTAATTAATAGCTTTTTGTTACTACCAGTAAGGCACTTGTTACTACTAGCGTGGCACTTGTTACTACTTTAATGCCGATGTCTGTCAGCCGCTCCGCCTTTCGCTCCGGATCCGGTTCCCCGCCTCCGACGGGTCCGGTGGGATTCCCACTTCCGACTTCCGCCGCCGGTTGCCGATGTGGAGCGCCGACTGGACCTGGAGCGAAGCCCAGAACGAGTCACCACTTGAACTGCAAACTTTGCCGAAAGGTTTCAAGTGACCTTTACTATCTATTTTTGAAATTCCGCACCTACTGAATTAATTAAGTAGGTAAGGGAAAACGCTCCTAGGAGCTTAAGCTACTACCTACTGGACACAGGATAGCTCACGCTTCTTCAAGGAAACTCCCCCCCGCCTGGAGCTTCCTTGAAGAAGCGCTTGCACTAATGATTTGGTTCCTAGAGGTTTAGGGAAACTTAACTTCAAACAATATTTACTGCTAGGAGCAAGGACGCTACTAGGGGCTCCTGCCCTGACTACTCGGAGCAAGGACGCTGCGACTTACTCTTTACTGCTGTGACGTGTTCTCGGAAGACTTCACCGCAAGAAGCTAAAGAAGTGAGATAACATGAGATATATTGTCTGAAGGAGGGCCTCAGGCAGGGTCAAAGGTCATGGAGTCATGATGACACCTTCCTCTCTCAAACATCTAGAAACAGTCCCTCAAGAACCCTCTGGGCCCTCAAGCACCCTAGTGTAGGTACAATTGCCACCGGCCTTGCCACTAGTGTTTCCAAGTTATGGCCTCTGAAGCAAGGACATTTCAATTCAAGGAACACGACATCAATATGACCTATAGGTGTGTAGATATAAATGGTTTGCGTCCTGTCTTGGATGGCTGTAGAACAAAGTGGCTCTTTCACCACTATGGGTCAAAACACTCGGTGGTTCGATTGATGGTCATCTCACTGCTCTCCCTCCTTCTTTCCATTTCGTTAGCTTCGTAGCGAGTGCCTCCAACTTACTAGCGATGGCCTCCAACCTACTAGTGATGGCCTCCAACCCAATAGCGATGGCCTCCAATCTACTTGCATAATATATCAGTTGCTCAGCCACGAACTTCTCTGAGCTTTCTGTGCTCATTCTAGTAGTGTCCTAGTAGCGTCCTTTGCTCCTAGTAGCGATGCCCTTTGTTCCTAGTAGCATCCTTGCTCCTAGTAGCGATGCCAGGAGCCCCTAGTAGCTTCTTGCTCCTAGTAGTAAGGCCAGGAGCCCCTAATAGCGTCCTGACTCATTTAATTCTTTTGCAATGTTGGTTCACACACTCGTCCGAATGCACCGTCCTCGCCTCAGAGACTGTGAAGGGGGGCAGCCCGCCATCGGGGTTCGGCACCCCTACGAAGGCCAAGGTCCCTGGGCGGCCGGGCGTGTTTGCCCACAGAAGGGAGATGGAGGGAGGACATACCAAAGTGTTGGCAAAAAACGGTTTGCGGTGACCTTGAGGTGCTCGAGGGATCCTTCGCAGGTTTTCGGGGGAAGACCGTCTTCTACTGGGCCTGCAAATGCAAATTAATGTCCAGTTGTGAGTAGCACATCCTACGAGAGCTTTGATTAATAACGAAGATTAGTCACTAGGAATCAACTGTGACAAAAATAAGTTCATCATCCCTTTGAACCTGGCCCAATGGATCTGTTCTGCAACAAGAAGCTCGAACACAGGAATCACGGAATGGCCAACAAAGTTGTGAGGTAACTGACTGAAATATCTTTAGGGCTGGAAAACTACACCGTCCTCTTTTCCCAGCTTTGCTTCAAACACCACCCGGTGTTTGACTGGAAATTCTCCATTTTTGCGACGTGTGACAGGGGGACAGGGCTTTCGTTTGCCTAAAATTTAAATTCGTAACTTGTTACTACTAGCGAGGCACTTGTTACTACTAGCGAGGCACTTG